AAGAAGAAGAAGAAGAAGAAAAAAAAAAAAGGAAACGAAGAAGAAGAAGAAGAAGAAGAAGAAGAAGAAGAAGAAGTAGAAGAAGAAGAAAGAAGAAGAAGAAGAAGAAAGAAGTAGAAGAAGAAGAAGAAGAAGAAGGAAGAAGAAGAAGAAGAAGAAGAAGAAGAAGAAGAAGAAAGAAGAAGAAGAGAAGAAGAAGAAGAAGAAGAAGAAGAAGAAGAAGAAGAAGAAGAAGAAGAAGAAGAAAGAAGAAGAAGAAGAAGAAGAAGAAGAAGAAAGAAGAAGAACAAGAAGAAGAAGAAGAAGAAGAAGAAGAAGAAGAAGAAGAAGAACAAGAACAAGAACAAGAACAAGAAGAAGAAGAAGAAGAAGAGAAGAAGAAGAAGAAGAAGAAGAAGAAGAAGAAGAAGAAGAAGAAGAAGGAGGAATTACTTTGGGTCGGCACGTCGCTGACTTGAAAATACAACGTAAATTATCTATTCCACTTATAACACTTAGGGAATGTTGCATTTTGAATTAAGAATCGACATCATAGTACTCGGGACATTCCCATAAGTGCTCTGTCCCTATCTTCAGCAGCAAACGAAAAGTTTTAATTCTGATTTCACCAGTAACTGTCCGATTGTACATCAGTCTCGCCTTTGCCCGAGTGTTAACGTAGACTAAATCCCCTCGTTAATCCTCGCAGCCACATTCTACTCAGACCCCAATGCACTGTTCAATCGCAACCAAAGAAAAATCGGGTCATAATCACGCTGAGCCGGGAATGAAGAGACTGGCCAGCAGGTGTCACAGAGGTGGAAATTCAGCAATTAATTCAAGATAATGCTCGCTCAGAGGATTTGATCATTTACACAGACGGTTCAGTGTCAAGAGGCAGGAGAAGTCCTTAGGGGCTTCTGAGCAAAAGTTCATGGTCGACGTTTGGTGCAGGAGAGCCTAGCATATGATACCACAACATCCAGCTTAAGAAGGGGGGTGGAGGCAGTCACTGCAGCTTTCCGCTGGCTAGAGAACACGACACACACACATTGTAATTGTAACTGATTCAGAAAGCAGGCTGAGGAAGATCAGAACAGGTATGCTTCGTGCAGAGTGGCATGCTTCCCTGAGGAGGACACGGGTGAGTATTGTCTGGATTTTTTCGCTGGGGCACGCCGATGTGTTGGGAAATGAACAGACGGACAGAGTAGCTGGCTCTGCACAACTTGATGGAATACTGATGCATCAAGAGGCAGACGTGGTTTGTGCCTTGTGGGAGAGAAGCAGTTCAGAGGAGTAGATTGATCACCACAGTCTGGTGAGACTGATGCAGGGAGGAGTGACGAGGGGTTCTGGCAGATGCTCGAGGCTCAGAAGAAAGGCAAGACGGACGTTTAATTAGAATGCTACTGGCACCATTAGTATAGGAACTCTTCACTGGCTTCTGAAGATGGGGACGGAGCAATTATGGGAATGTCACGAGTGCTGTGGTGTCGGTCCTTGAATCAAATCAAATCAATGAAATCAACCAAAGAAAAAGAAAAAAAAAAAAAAAAAGACGACTTTAGTGACAAAGATAAAGATCGTCACAATGAAAAAAAAAAAAAAAACAGAAACCCCCCCCCCCCCCTCCCCCCACAATAAAAAAGGATTCCAGTAAGACTGACTGTATGACAGCGTGCATAGAAACAGTTTACGGAATGCTATGAATGACTTTGGAATACCAAAGAAGTTAATTATCATGACCACACTATGTATGGAAGACACTTGTAATATAGTAATATATAAAGGCAGAAAGTCAGACCCTTTTCAAATAACATCTGGTTTAAAGCAAGGTGATGCTCTGTACCCACTTCTTTTCAACTTGGCCCTGGAGAAAATTAGAAGGGAATTGAAACAAGCGTGTACTACAGAAGAATCTACAAGAAAATCTTAGATATTCTGATGACATTGATATCGTTGGAGAAAATTAACTAGAGACTGTTAAAAAACTAAATGTCTTTAAAAAATCAGCTCAGGAAATGGGAATTGTTATCAATTAAGTTAAGACAGAATACATGATAATAACTAGACAGGGAAAGGATATAAACTCCGGCTACATACAAGTCGATAATATGAAAGTCAAACGAACGGAAACGTATTAGTACTTGGGTGCTTCAACTGCTCCAACATTCTGAGAGAAGAAATACAATCTAGAATACAATCTGGAAATAAAGTATACTATGCCCTTCAACACTTGTGACAGTTATGATCCGCTCAAAACTGGTAGCAACCCTATTCCGGTACTCCGCTAGGCAGGTGACACAATCCTCCTTTCGAACAACGTAAAGGGAATAGAAAATTTTATACGAAATGATAAAAGAAATTGAAAATGTCACAAACTTTGAATATCTGGGCTCTATAATAAACAGCAATGGAGACTGTTCGACAGAAATTAAAAGGAGGACGGTCATACAAAGGAATACAAAGATAGAAAAGCCTTAAAAGTCTTTGGTCTTGCACCAGCAAGGAGGTAAAA